TCGCGGGCGGCAGAAGCTGCTCGGCAGCAGTGGGTGGCGAGGCGCTGCAGCAGCCGCGGGCTGCTGCGACAGAGGCGGTACCGGCGGCGCGGCGCTCACGTGCGGCTGGCCGGGCAGCTGGTCCTGCACTGCCGCCCACGCCTTCTCCGACACAATGACCTGGCCGCCGTGCGCCGCCTCGCTGCGGCGGGGAGAGCAGGGCAGGCGGCAAAGCAGGAGGCGGGGCGGGGTGAGCAGGCAGGCAGCCCAGCAGCCGCTGCTCGCCGAAACACAGGGGCAAGCCCAGGAGCCCCGCACCACAGGCAGGCACCTCGGGCCGACCGCCAGGCCGGCTGCACGGGCTGCCGCCTCTGCAGCACACAGACGCGGCCCCGCACCTCAGCTGCTGCACCCGCTCCACCGCTGTGCCCAGGTAGTCTGTGGTGACGTCGTCGGCGGCCGCCTGCTGGCGTGGGACGCTGCGGCAGGAGGGTGCGGGGCGGGGCAGGCGGGGCTGATGGGGTGCAAGGGGGCACATCAGGAGTTGTAGGGTTGCAAGGACTGGATGGCCAGCGCACAGCAGGCGCCGGCACACACCGTCCCTACTCCCCCCGCACCACACCACCCGCCCACCTGACTGCGGTGAACTCGCAGCTCTGGTGCACCGCCATGGCCACCCGCGGCCCTTTGAACACAGGCTTGCCGTCGGGTGCCAGCTCTGCGCGCGGGCGAGGCCAGGGGGGAGGCTCAGAGGCAGGCAGGCAGGCGCCCCCAACCGGGGCAGGCCCCTCCTCTCTTCAGGCACCCTCTGGAGCTCCCTGCAGCTGCAGCCCACCAGCGTGCAATGCCCCACCAATGCGCTGACCTAAACCACAGATGCAGCCCAGACCCCACACCGCCACCCACACCACACCACCACCCACCCACCTGTCCTGCCGCAGAAGTCCAGGCTGTCCTGCCCCCATGCACTGTACATGAGCAGCGCCTGGGCGGAGTGGCAAAAGCGCACGGCGTCGGAGGCAGAGGCAAAGGACAGCAGGTAGGCGGCCTGCAAGGGGGTGCGGGGGGCGGGGGGGGGCGGGGGGGGAGTGAGGCTGGCAGGGGGGCCTGAGCCACGCAGCGCCGTAGGTACAGCGGGGGACTGCAGCAGTTTGCCTGTGCAGGGGCTTGCGGCACCACCACCAACTGCACCAACTGCCGCCCCCACCACCGCCGCCGCCGCCGCCGCCCCCCACCTGCGACTCGCTGAGGCGGAAGATGTAGCCGCCAAACTGCATGGCCACCGTGGCCAGCACCTCGTGCAGGCGCTTGGCCACAGGCGGAGACGCTTCCCCCGTGCCGCTGCTGCCGCCGGGGCACGCCTCCAGGGCTGCAGGCAGGGGGGTGGGGGGCAGGGCGGCATGTGGAGATAAGGAGGGGCGGGCGGCGGGGGCCCAGACGCCGCCCGCGCGGCAGCCAACAGCCGGAGCGGGGAGAGGGCAGCAGCCTGCAGCGCCCCCCCGCCGGTCGACTGATCCACCGCCATACCCACACCCACTCACGCCACCCACCCACCATCCCACCACCCAGCACCCACCCAGGCGCGCCGCCACGAACGACAGGTGGCCCTTGGGCCCGTGGGGCTGGGGCGGGCGCGTGATGGACATGCCCCACCCCGCCTCCAGCGCCTCCAAAAAGTTGAGGGGGCCCGGCTGGCGGTGCAGCGGGCGGCCCAGCAGCTGGGTGACCTGCGGGGGCGGGACAGGTGGAAGGTACAGGCTCAGGGAAGGTGACGGTGCAGGTGGGGGGAAGGACCTCCAGCCAGAGGGCGGGGAGGGCAGGCGGCCGCGGATCAAGCGGCAGGGGGGATCAAGCCGGAAGCTGCAGCAGCGCCAACAGCGGCGGCGGCAGCTGCCTCACCTGGTACACCCAGATGGGCGCCGGCCACGACTCCACCTTGTACTGCCCCAGCTGCTCCACCACCGGGAAGCCGGCGGTAGCCATGTCCTGCGGTACACACCGAGCAGTACAAGAGGGGCATGACACAAGATGCACGCGTGCGGGCGGCGCCGGTGCTGCCAGGCGCGTCAGCCTGCACCCGCTGCCGTGTCAGGCAAAGCGGCATGCAGCCTCCCCCTGCAACCTCCTCGTCGTCTTGCCCAGCCCCGCCCAGCCCCCTGGCACCCACCTGTCGCAGGTGCACCCAGCCCTCGTGGCTCAGCAGCACCTGGCCGCCGTGCGCCGCCTCGCACAGCTCGCGCGTCACCTGCAGGGCAGAGGGAGTGCGTGTTGGTGGGGGTTGAGACGGGAGGGAAGGGGTGGTGTGGGGGCGGACGCACAGCCACGCAGCAGGCCACAGCTGCAGCGTGGGGGACCGCGCTGCCCCTGCAATACGGGCAGGCGGCGCCGCGGGAGCAGCAGCCGCAGCGGGGCTCCCTTACGGGCGCCGCCCCAGCCGCTCTCCACCCCACCACTCTCACCTGGAAGGCGGGCCCCGTGAAGACTCGGTGCTTGGTGATCTGGTGCAGGCGCTGCACCACCGTGCCCTCCGCCGCCCAGTGCACGCCCATGCGGATGCGCGGGCCCCTGCGGCGACACCGCAGGCGGCGGCGTCAGCACGGCAGGCGCCGCCGGGTGGCACGTGCAGCCTCACGTCGCCGCGCCCGGCTGCTTGCGCATCCCTGGACTCCAAAGCGGTCAGGCCCGCCCAGTGCCCCACGCCCCGACACACCCACACCACCTCCAAAGCAACACACACGTGCACACAGGCACACTGCCAAAACACACACCTGCCTAATACACACACACACACACACCTGTACACCAGCGATCCGTCCGGCGCCTTAGCCTCCTTGCAGGGCCCCAGGCGCAGCACCTCGCGCGGCCACTCCAGCTCCATCATCTGTCAGTGGGGGTGTGTGGGGTGGTGGTGGCAGGGGCAGATGGGCACGAACAAGTTTAGGCTAACAGCGCTGCAAGCGAAGGCGGCAGGCAGGCCCGGCGGGCGCCCAGCCAGCGCCGCCGCTCCCGCCGCCGCCCACCTCGGCTCGGTGCTGCCCCCCGGTACCGCCGCTCACCTGGTACTGCACCTCCATGCAGAACAGTACCGCGTGCTGCACGTCCTTGAATGCCACATGGAAAGCGTCCCCCTCGGTGTTGATCTCATACCTGTGTGGGTGTGGGTGTGGGTGGGTTGGGAGGGGGTGCAACAACAGTTGGGAGGCCAGGTGAGAGTGGTGGGGCCTTGAGCGCTTAGATGTGCTTAGGGAAGCCGGCGGGGTGAGGCCCCGCGGGCCCGCGGCGCAGCAGCAGCCAGCAGCACCCGACACCGCGCACCCGTTGTACCGCCCGATCAGCTCCCGCATCAGGCTGTCATGCATCTCTTGCACCTGCACGGTACGGCGGTACGGTGGGCCGGCAGGCTGGCAGCCGACGAGGTGGGTGCTGCTAGCAACACACGCTGGTTGCCCCGCGAGCCCTCACAGACGGTTATTTCGCCACCCCTGCCGACTGCGTTTCACCCCTGCCCCGCGCGCTCCAGCACACACGACCGCATCGGGCCCACCTTTTCGAACTGGCGCGGCGCGGCGGCGGCGATGGCGGTGGATGCCTCCAGGTCTGTGATCACGAATGCTAGCTCCCGCAGCTGCTTCAGCTCCTCCAGCTGCCGCTGCTCCGCGTCCCCCGTCTGCTGCACCAGGCTCTGCATCAGGTACTTGAAGTTCTTCATCTGGCCGCGCTGCAGCTTGCGGGCCGCCTGGTGGCGACGCATGCTGCAGGCGGTGCGGCGGCGGGGGGAAGAGGGGCAAGAGGGAAGGCGCGCCGGTCAGCCGCGGCGCGGAGGGAGGCGGCGCAGGTGGCGACGCAGTGCATTGGGGCAAGGCACGGCACACAGCTCATCCCGGCATCGCAAGGGCTGCCGCCAGCCAGCTGCCAGCACCGACCAGCACCCGCGTCATCCCTGCCCACCTCTCCCGCATCAGCCAGTACGTGACCAGCGCCACCAGCGCGGAGGCAGCCCCCACAAACACAGCCACCAGGATGACCACCTGCGGGGGGCAGGAGGGGAGGCGGGAGGGGGGCAGCGGGCAGGCTTCATTGGCAGGGGCAGCCGGCAGCCGGCCGAGGCTGGGTCAGGGACCGGCTCCACACACGCACACACACACCATCCCGCCCCTCGGACTGGCGGGCCGGTGCAAGCACGCGGCCGCGGCCAGCTGAGCTGATGCCCACCCGCACCCACCCACCTTTGACACCGAGACGGCGGAGGAGGAGCAGGTGCCGGCGGAGGAGATGGTGACGGGCGGGGCGTCCCTGCAGTGGTTTGAAGGCGGCGGCGGGAGCGCCAACCGAATCAGCGGCGGATCGAGGGCCACCCAGGCCGCTGTTTCTTTCCCTGCCGGCCCTGCCTGCGGGGCAGCCGAGCTGCGCGCCAGGCCCGCACCAAACAGGGAAGGGTGCGCCTGTACCGGCACCGAGCCGTGCCGGCCCACCAGGCGCGGCCGGGCAGCACCCACCTGAACCCCTCCAGACCAGCCCCATTGGTGGCGTAGATGCGCATGAAGTAGGCGGAGCTGCGGCAGGCAGCGCAGGGTGTGCGGCTGGTGTGGCAGCGGGTGTGGTAGGGCAGGAGGCGCCACTGCTGATGAGCAGGCTGCCACGCTGCCACGCTCCCAGCCCACCAGCCCTGCACAGGCTGCAGCGAGAGGAAGGCATCCCGGCGCCGCTGCAGCTGCCGCCCGTAAAAAGGCGGTACCGCCCCCCACCCACCCGTCCTGCAGGTCCAGGTTTATCACGTACACGCGGAACTCTCCCTGGGCAGCCGGGTCAAAGTCCAGCTGCGGGCGACGGGAGAGACAGGGGGGCAGGCAGGCAGGAGACGGGAGGGGAGGGGAGGGTTGGTGCTGGGCGGTGGGGATGTGTGCGAGCAGCAAGGGGGCAAAGGTGCGCGCCCGCCTCCCCACCATGCCCAGGCTCACCCCAGGGCCGCACCCCAGCCGCCCCACGCCACCCAGCCACCCAGCCAGCCCCACCTGGGTCTTGTTGGTGACGGCGGG